AAATGATTCACACTTAGTAAATGTTTAATAAAGGATAATTAGTCTTCACTTTAGAAAAGCTTTAAAAAAGACTTAACTAACAGAGAACAGCTGCCTGAATGATCATTGCATTACATTATTAGTAAATCATTCTCTCGTCGCTTACTAATGATTAATAAATGCTCAAATGGTTAGTTCATGAGTAATTAAGTATGAAATAATTATGAGTAACTATTTACAGCACAGGCAAATTAAGTGCAAGTGCTAATTAAGGTAGTAATTAAGTAGTTACTAAGCGTGAATCATTATTAATTAAGTCTTTGTTCATGCTTTATTAAGGCTAAATAAGGTGTAGTTATTATAAAGTGTTACCCAATTACAATTCAAGTTAGATTTGTGATTATTTATGTTTTAATATTATAGGATTATGTTTAAAGTTCATATTTTAAACTAATCCTGAAGAACTGACAAAAAAATAAAATAAAATGACTGCAGTTTTGTTGCAGAATAAAACCCCATGGAGACGTTTCAGAACATGTTCGTACAGATTTTTATCCGGAATAAAACAGGAGATTTCGTTTGAGGAGAAAAGGATTCAGCGTGTAAGTGTAAAATGTTGTATAATATTTGTTAGATGTAAAATTGACTTGAGTGGACGCCGTTAGTGGGAGGTTCATCACTTTTAAATCTTCCACCACTTTCCTTTCATGGGCGTTGTGATGGTTTGCGTTTCCTGTCTCTGGTGTTAACGTGCGAAACGTGAAAACATCTATGTGTGTGATTCTATTTAAGGACAAAAGAGAAACAGAATCAGACGACAGAGACTCTGACAGAGGAAGAGGAGATGACGAGATAAAGAGAGAGGATGTGCGCGTGCGGTGTGGAGAACAGGTGCGTGGCAGGTGCGTGGCAGGTGTCTTCTGACCGCGAGCTGGCAGGCGTAGCGTTCCTGGGTGAAGTCGTAGCACTGGGACAGAGTGGAGAAGAACTTGGTCATGCACTGGTCCTGACTCAGGGTCGAGTATCCCTGAAACGTCTGAATCACCAGTCTGCGCAACTGCTTCGGCTGAAAACACACAGACACGTCAGGACTGAACCAGGACTAAACCAGGACTAAACCAGAACTAAACCAGGACTAAACCAGGACTAAACCAGGACTAAACCAGGACTGAACCAGGACTGAAACCAGGACTAAACCAGGACTAAACCAGGACTGAAACCAGAACTAAACCAGAACTAAACCAGGACTGAACCAGGACTAAACCAGGAACTAAAGGAACTAAACCAGGACTGAACCAGGACTGAAACCAGGACTAAACCAGGACTAAACCAACTAAACTAAACTGAACCAGGACTGAACCAGGACTAAACCAGGAATGAACCAGGACTGAACCAGGACTAAAACAGGACTAAAACAGGACTGAATCAGGACTGAACCAGGACTAAAACAGGACTAAAACAGGACTAAACCAGGACTAAAACAGGACTGAACAAGGACTAAAACAGGACTAAACCAGGTCTAAACCAGGACTAAAGATGGACTAAACCAGGATTAAAACAGGACTAAACCAGGACTAAATCAGGACTAAACCAGGATTAAACCAGGACTAAAACAGGACTAAACCAGGATTGAACCAGGACTGAACCAGGACTAAAACAGGACTAAACCAAGACTGAACCAGGACTAAACCAGGACTAAACCGGGACTAAACCAGGACTAAACCAGCACCAGCTGCTTTGACTGAGGAACAAGGTACAACAATCAGGACTGGACCTGGACCAGGACGAAAAAGCTTGGCCAAATTTAAAGATATAAAAACATAAATCTAACAGAGAAACATTTAAAAGTGGTGAAATTATTTGTCCGTGCAGCAAGATCATTTTACTTTTAAAATAAACGACCTCAAGACTAAAATTAAACATCTCAGAATGAGAAAATAAATCAGAATACAAGATGAATAATATAATAATAATAATAAATAAGTTTTAAAATCTTGGGGCCAAATCAGAGAAATTTGCAGCGACTAGACCAGGACTAGACCAGGACTAAACCAGAGCTGAACCAGGACTAAACCAGGACTTTGTACCTTCATGCTGTTGATAAGTTCTGTGGGGAAGAACAGGTCCAGGCCCACATCTTTCCTAAAAATCAAATAAAAAGGTGATGAATTATTTAAAATATCAAAACTGCACACAGGCTCATTTAGAACAAAGATTATAGACCAAAGATTCTGTGTAAAAGTCCCAAAAACAAACAGTGCGATGTTCAAATCAAGATAAAAAAAAAACAATAAAAAAAGAGAACCAGGACTAAACCAAGACTAACCCAAGATTAAAAGAGGACCAAACCAGGACTAAACCAGGACTAAACCAAGACTGAATCAGGACTAAACCAAGACTGAATCAGATCTGAACCAGTTCTGAACTGGGACTAAGCCAAGACTGAACCAAGACTAAACCAAGATTACACCCAGACTAAACCAGGACTGAACCAGGACTGAACCAGGACTAAACCAGGTCTGAACCAGGACTAAACCAGGACTGAACCAGGACTAAACCAGGACTAAACCAGGTCTGAACCAGGACTGAACCAGGACTAAACCAAGATTACACCCAGACTAAACCAGGACTGAACCAGGACTAAACCAGGTCTGAACCAGGACTAAACCAGGACTGAACCAGGAGTAAACCAAGACTAAACCAGGTCTGAACCAGGACTAAACCAGGACGGAACCAGGACTAAACCAGGACTAAACCAGGTCTGAACCAGGACTAAACCAGGACTAAACCAAGACTACACCAAGATTAAACCAGGACTGAACCAGGACTAAACCAGGACTAGACCAGGACTGAACCAGGACTGAACCAGGACTAGACCAGGACTGAACCAGGACTGAACCAGGACTAAACCAGGACTGAACCAGGACTAAACCAGACCAGGACTGAACCAGGACTAAACCAGGACTGAACCAGGACTAAACCAGGACTAAACTAAAACATTAAAACATAAAAGATTTATAAGAAAACGTTTTGTTTCCAACTCAAAACCAGATCAGTTGTTTCCTGTTTTTTTGTGTGTTTGAAATGACTGAAAATGGTCCGGATGTCTGCTCAGTCTGAAAGCAAAATCTCGACCACAGACTGACCACAGAGAAGAAAAAATCCAACCACATTTACATGAAAACATCAGACACACGACTAAAGTTTAAACACACAAACACAAACACACACGAACTCACTCCAACAGCTCAAAGTTTGATTTTTTCTCCAGGCCGTTGGGATTCATGTCTTTGTAAAATCTCCTGCAGAACACAAAACAGTTCACACGGTTAAAACTGATCCTGTGACGTCACACTGGGGGGTTCTGTATGTGTGTCTGTGGAGTGAAGTTTCCAGCAGTTACCATGGCGACACAATTAGCAAACACAGGCTTCAGGTTTTTTTTTCAGACTGAAATCTGATGGAAAAAATAATAAACTAGGTCTGAACAGGGACTAAACCAGGTCTAAATCTGGCCTAAACTAGGTGTGAACAGGGACTAAACCAGGTCTAAATCTGGCCTAAACTAGGTGTGAACAGGGACTAAACCAGGTCTATATCTGGCCTAAACTAGGTGTGAACAGGGACTAAACCAGGTCTATATCTGGCCTAAACTAGGTGTGAACAGGGACTAAACCAGGTCTAAATCTGGCCTAAACTAGGTGTGAACAGGGACTAAACCAGGTCTATATCTGGCCTAAACTAGGTGTGAACAGGGACTAAACCAGGTCTAAATCTGGCCTAAACTAGGTGTGAACAGGGACTAAACCAGGTCTATATCTGGCCTAAACTAGGTGTGAACAGGGACTAAACCAGGTCTATATCTGGCCTAAACTAGGTGTGAACAGGGACTAAACCAGGTCTATATCTGGCCTAAACTAGGTCTGAACAGGGACTAAACCAGGTCTAAATCTGGCCTAAACTAGGTAAAGCAAGTGTTTCTTTTGTGAGTGTGTCGTGTGTTGTGCGTCGTGTGTTGTGTGTCTTGTATTGTGTCGTGTGTTATGTGTCGTGTGTTGTGTGTCATGTGTTGTGCATTGTGTGTCGTGTGTTGTGTGTCATGTACTGTGCATTGTGTATCGTGTGTTGTGTGTCATGTACTGTGCATTGTGTATCGTGTGTTGTGTGTCATGTACTGTGCATTGTGTGTCGTGTGTTGTGTGTCATGTACTGTGCATTGTGTATCGTGTGTTGTGTGTCATGTACTGTGCATTGTGTGTCGTGTGTTGTGCGTTGTGTATCGTGTGTTGCATGTCATGTGTTGTGTGTCATATGTTGTGCGTCGTGTGCCGTGTGTCATGTGTTGTGTGTCATGTGTGTCGTGTCATGTGTCGTGTGTTGTGCATTGTGTATCGTGTGTTGTGTGTCGTGCGTCACGTATTGTGTCGTGTATTGTGCATTGTGTGTCGTGCGTCGTGTGTCGTATGTCGTGTATTGTGCATTATGTGTCATGTGTTGTGTCGTGTGTTGTGTGTCGTGTGCCATGTATTGTGCATTGTGTGTCGTGCGTCGCGTCGTGGGTCGTATGTCGTGTATTGTGCGTTATGTGTCATGTGTTGTGTCGTGTGTTGTGTGTCGTGTGCCATGTATTGTGCGTTATGTGTCATGTGTTGTGTTGTGTGTTGTGTGTCGTGTGCCATGTATTGTGTATCGTGCATCGTGTGTCACGTATTGTGTCGTGTATTGTGCATTGTGCGTCGTGTATTGTGCATTGTGTGTCGTGTATTGTGCATTGTGTGTCGTGCGTCGTGTCGTGCGTCGTATGTCGTGTATTGTGCGTTATGTGTCATGTGTCATGTGTTGTGTGTTGTGTGCCATGTATTGTGCATTGAGTGTCGTGTGTTGTGTGTTGTGTGTCGTGTGTTGTTGTGTACCGTATCTCCAGACAGCCCAGCTGCAGAGCCATTCCATCACTGACTTTAGAGGCGTAGTTTAACATGTAGTCACTCCTCACCTGCACACACAACACACAACACAACACAACAGTTCACAAAAGGAAATACACACACAACACAACACAACACAGCTGGTCACAGAAGGAAATACACAACACAATAATTTAATTTTCACATGTAAATAAGAAGAGGAAACTGCACTAAATGTGACCACGCAGTTCCTTTGTGGGTTTGCGGTCGGCCTAAATCAGCTCAGAAATATCAGCAAGGATTATCAGTCATCGGTCGCTCAGAATTCAAAAAATAATCGGCGTCAGCATCGGCCGTGTCCCCTCATGCTCCCACCCACGATGATTCTCCAAAAATACACAAAACCATGACCACAAACTGAACACAGCAGCGTGACAAACCTGACGTGACGTGCAGGACTGAAACAAAACTGAGTGTGTTGGGTTAGCGCTCTGAAGGGGGAGAGACTTAGCCCACAGAAGTAAAATAGTCCATCTTTAACCAAAGGTCACATAGTTCAAAAAGGTAAATGTTTAAGAATAACGTGCTGTTCTTCTGTGAATCGTCACACACAAGACAAACTGAATTTCAGAGTCACACGGTGAAGAACAGAGATAAGATTTGAACCTGTTGGTAAAAGTAGAGCATCGTCGTTCGGTCGTCTTTAAATTTCTCCATAAAATCTTTGGGGACGTATCGGATTCTCAAGTCGTACCTGCAGAAGAACAAATGAAGGAATTAAAAAAAGATATTCATGATGCAAATGACATAATATTAAAAGGTCCCATATTACGGAGCTTTAAGACATGTTCTAATGTTCCTTCAACATTGGCAAGTGTTAATTCAACTTCCACTAGTGTTAATTCAACTTCCTCTAATATTAATTCAACTTCCTCTAATATTAATTCAACTTCCTCTAATATTAATTCAACTTCCACTAGTGTTAATTCAACTTCGCCTGGTGTTAATTAATCTTCCCTTAGTGTAATTCAACCCCCCTTCATGTTAATTCAACTTCCTTTAGAGTTAATTCAACTTTGCCTTGTGTTAATTCAACTTCCATTAGTGTTAATTCAACTTCCACTAGTGTTAATTCAACTTCCACTAGTGTTAATTCAACTTCCATTAGTGTTAATTCAACTTCCCCTAGTGTTAATTCAACTTCCTTTAGTGTTAATTCAACTTCCCCTAGTGTTAATTCAACTTCCTTTAGAGTTAATTCAACTTCGCCTGGTGTTAATTAATCTTCCCTTAGTGTAATTCAACTTCCCCTAGTGTTAATTCAACTTCCTTTAGAGTTAATTCAACTTCGCCTGGTGTTAATTAATCTTCCCTTAGTGTAATTCAACTTCCCCTAGTGTTAATTCAACTTCCTTTAGAGTTAATTCAACTTCGCCTGGTGTTAATTAATCTTCCCTTAGTGTAATTCAACTTTCCTTAGTGTTAATTCAACATTGCCTAGTGTTAATTCAACTTCCTTTAGTGTTAATTCAACTTCCCTCAGTGTTAATTTAACTTCCCTTAGTGTTAATTCTGCTTTGCCTAGTACTAATTCAATTTTGCCAAGTGTTAATTCAACTTCCCTTAGTGTTAATCCAACTTCCTTTAGAGTTAATTCAACTTCCTTTAGTTTTTATTCAACTTCCTTTAGTGTTAATTCAACTTTGCCTAGTGTTAATTTAACTTCCCTCAGTGTTAATTTAACTTCCCTTAGTGTTAATCCAACTTTGCCAAGTGTTAATTCACCTTCCCTTAGTGTTAATTCAACTTCCCCTAGTGTTAATTCAACTCTTTATTATGAGTTTGTCTACATCTCCAAAGCTCCAAACGCTCTGTTCCACCTTGTGATGTCATGAAGTGGTAGTTTCACAGTGAACAGCTCCTTTTCCCTTTAGTTCAGTCGAGATCGGCGACTCCAGGACTGAAACGACGATGATAAAAGGACGAGAAATTCAAATTGTGAACTGGACAAAAGTTTACTTTGGTCAAAAACGTTTGTCAGCTCATCTAAGCGGCTTCTTCAGTCCTGGTCAGACTCTGATGGACTCTGTCTCCTATCTGTCTGATGGGAGGAGCTAACTACACTGAAACTCCTCTGAAACTAACATGTGCTTGTTCACAGTTTCTGTTCGTTGACTCGGCGTCTTCGTTTGTTTTGAATGAAGGGTCACATCAGCAGAATCTTTCACACCTCTGGACCTCACCTGTTCCCACAGTTGTTTATTTGTTTTGTTTTAGCTCTGAGGATGAAGATGTACATGATGAGAGAAGTGTTCAAGGTGTGTGGAGTTTAAAAACACAGAGGAGCACTTCCCGTGCCACCAAAGCGGAACAGAGTGTTTTCAGTTAGAGAGAAGAACTCGTGCTAAATAAAATATGAAACAAAAACTTATGAGAGTTTAATGAATAAGGAACCAAAACAAAGCTGTGAAGATTCTGGTTGGACATCTGCAAGGACTAAACCAGGACTTAAACAGGACTAAACCAGGACTAAACCAGGATGGAGCCAGGACTAAACCAGGACTTAAACAGGACTAAACCAGAACTAAACCAGAACTAAACCAGGAATTAAACAGGT